CCTCCCAAGTAGCTGGGACTACAGGCGCCCGCCACAACGCCTGGCCATTTTTTGGTTGCAGCCATCATTGTTGTTTGGCGGGCCCGGGCTGGGGATTCAAACCCGCCACCTTAGGTGTATGTGGCTGGCGCCTTAGCCGCTTGAGCCACAGGCGCCAAGCCAACACCCTGCTATTTTTTGGTTGCAGCCATCAGTTTGTTTTGGTGGGCTGGGCTGTATTCGAACCTGCCACACCTTAGGTGTATGTGGCTGGCGCCTTAGCCACTTGAGCCAATTTTTCTGTTTGGTTTTTTTTCTTTATTTTAAAAGACAGAGTCTTACTTTGTTGCCCTTGTAGAGTGCTGTGGCGTCACAGCTCATAGCAACCTCCAACTCCTAGGCTTAGGTGATTCTCTTGCCTCAGCCTCCCAAGTAGCTGGGACTATAGGCACTTGCCAGAATACCCGGCTATTTTTCGTTGCAGTTTGGCCGGGGCTGGGTTCGAACCCCCCACCCTCGGCATATGGAGCCAGTTCCCTACCCATTGCGACACAAGTGCTGCCCAATTTTTCTGTTTTTAGTAGAGATGAGGTCTCGCTGTTGCTTAGGCTGGTCTCAAACTCCTGAGCTCAAGGGATCCTTCTGTCTTGGCTTTCTAGAGTGCTAGGATTATAGGCATGAGCCACTGTGCTTGGCCTCCAGGAATATTTTTTAAAAGTTCTTTAGGTGATAGTCAGGATTGAGAACCTGTGGCCTATGTGAAACTCAATGCTACATTGCTCTGTAAACCTGTTACCTCTGCCTGGGACCCTCTTCAAGTTCAGCCCCCATAGAGTTGCCTGAGATCTGTCTGTATCAGTGGCTCCTCACCTGAGCCCAGTGAAGTGAGCATGGATGCGAAGGTAGGCTCCGTACATCTGGATGCGCTTGCTGTGTATCTCGATAATCGCTCCGGTAGTTGGCACATACTGCAAGGGATTTGGGGTAAGGGCAGCACCAGACCAGGACCCTGTTGCTGGCAATCTAGTCAGCTTCATCTAAGGCCTCCTTCCAGCCTCTCTGTTGCTGTCCCTCCTGGCTGAGCCCAGAGGCTCCTCAGATAGGATTCTGGGCTAATGGGGAGGGCTATCTCCTAGCCATCCTTCACCTCACTTACCGAGTTCTCTCTATAGTCTGCATAGAGCTCCACCTCCAGGAGCTGCTTCTGTTCTGCAAAGCCAAACAGTAAGAGGCTAGAGAAAACCAGTGTGTCAAGCATCTGGAGGAGATCTGAACGGTAATGCAGCATCACCTGTCAGGGACAGGAGGGAGAAGTTAGAGACAGGTGGCCCAGATCCCCATGGCCCTGCCCACCCCTTGACCACCCTTGAGCAGTCTCTGAAGGCTGTTTTTCCCTGAGGTCCCTGCTCTTTCACCTTCACTTCCCAACTCCCAGTCTCAACCATTCCAACTGCTTGAGTAACATTTCCTCCTAATTGGCCACATCCCTCCATTCTACTATGTAACAAAGGCCCCTCCTTCCTAGGTCAAGCACTACACTGTCTCTGATCAACCATCCTCCTAAATAGTTCTGTAATCCAGTGTTTGTGATCTAAGTCCCAGTATACCACCTGAAGCTTTTCTCCCCCCAGGCAGACATCAGGAATTTACTGCATGATGATAAGTCATGTAAGAATGAAGTCACTTTATACCCAAGGAGTTAAGACACTTGCCCCGCAGCTAGCTCATTTCTGAATGAGGACACAAACCCAAGTCTGTCAGGCTCTAGAGCTTCTGTTTTCTGAGAGCAATACTCTCTTTAGACTTCACCCCAAACTCAGGCATGCTCATCAGATACCTGGAGGGGTTTGCGTATGTTTGGGTTTGGTAAGCTGATTCCTCTTTCCTTATCCTGATGTGTCTGTGTCCCCAGAGCCAAGGATGTTTTCTACTGAAGCTCTCTCTGCTCAGACATTCTTACTCTGCCATTATTGTCCACATCTTACCAGACAGGCCATGAACATTTACCGAGCGTGAAGAAGTAGAGATGATTCGGCCGCCTCGGGTGTAGCATGAAACGGTGACCAAGAACATGCCCAAATCTTGATTCACAGGGGACTCTGGCAGTTCCAGCTCTAATGTAATGCGATATGGCTGTCCATACATCAGGACCTGCCCAAAGTAGCCCCCATCTCTTGTCAAAAAGACGTATTTGAAAACTATACTCTCCCTATTCTACTTCTCTCACCCCTCTCCCCAAATGCTCTGCCATAATCCCCTTGGTTAGTGTAACAGGCCCCTGGATCTCTCGTCTCAAGAAGATGCTGCCCCCTGCTGGTTGGCTGGATGCCCCAGACTTCTGAGGTCTTTGGAACCCTGTTGACTCTCCTAAATCACACTCACTACTGTTCTAGAAAGGCTGTGTCACATTTCCTTGCTAAAAGTGAACAGTCATGTTGCCAATTGGGCCATCTGTAACTCAGGGCTATGTGACTAAGACTGTCCCCTAGGCCCAGCCTGCCCTCCCTCATACAATTAATTAACCAAGCGCTAGCAATGCTCCCAGTATCCCTGACCAGCTGTCTTACAACTGCCCTCAGTCTAAATTATTTCTATGTTGTTCTGGGTCCCTGTCTTGGTTCTGTTGGTAGAACTCTGAGACTTGTAGTGGGAAGACCTCTTCATCACTAGGAGTAAACTCAAAAAGGTAAAGATTTGCCACCAAACATACCCTAGTTTTTTTGACCATTCCTACATTCTTCTAATCCCTTTATTTAATGATTCTTATCTACCAGCATGGATTTTCACAGGGTAGCATGTAAGAATGACAGGGATAATGGTAAAGCTTTTGCTTTTAACCAAAGGAAAGAATAGACTGAAAAAAAAAATTGGGGCTTGGCACCTGCAGTACAGTGGTTATGGTGCCTGCCACATACACCCAGGCTGGCGGGTTCGAACCCAGCCCAGGCCAGCTAAACAATGACAACTGCAACAAAAAATAGCCAGGCATTGTAACAGGGGCCTGTAGTCCAAGCTACTTGGGAGGCTGAGGCAAGAGAATCACTTAAGTCCAAGAGCTTGAGGTTGCTGAGCAGTGACGTAACGGCACTCTACCAAGGGCAACATAGTGAGGCTCTGTCTCAAAAAAAAAAAAAAAAAAAAAAAGTTTAAAAAGTACTGTTTTAGTTCTTATAAAACACTTCTAATCTGGTGCTTTGAGGGTTTATCACTAAAGTAAAGGCTGAAAACTGATAAGAGTGCAATGGCTCACGCTATAATGCTAGCTCTTAGGAGGCCGAAGCAGGTGGATTGCCTGCACTCATAGGTTTGAGACCAGCCTGAGACATAGTGAGATCTCACTTCTTTTTATTTATTTATTTATTTTTTTGAGACAGAGCCTCAAGCTGTCCCCCTGGGTAGAGTGCTGTGGCATCACAGCTCACAGCAACCTCCAACTCCTGGGCTCAAGCGAGTCTACTG